CGAACCGTTATCCGTCCAGCAGCACTGTATGGCAATGAGTACCGGCCTTGTACGCGGAACGAGGAGCTCAAGCTCAGTGTCAAGGAAACAAGGATGTTGCGATGGACCTTAGGGATCAGGAGGACCACATCTGCAATGGCACTGTGCGAGCCAATAAACTAGCTCCAATCGCCCACATAATGCAGGGGAAAAGATTACGGTGGTACGGGCATGTGCGCTGAAGAGAAGAGAGGTACATTACAAAGTTAGCCTTAACGGGGGAGGTCCAGGTAAAGTGCAGGTGTAGACCCAAGATGAAGTGGATGGACAGAATCAAGGCCGACCTGCGAGAACCTGGAATAGATAGAGACCTTGCCTCAGATAGAAGGATATGGAAACAAGTGACAAGGAAAGCAAACTCTGCGTAAGCGGTGGAAATGCGAGGATGAAAAAATAACCTCATTGTCAAGGCAAAATAAAAAACGCTCATTGCTCTGCATCAACCTAATACTGCCGTTTTTCCTATGTACAGTTTGATACTCAATGTGCTGAGAGAGGGCGGATAACCAAGTAAGAATGAGAATTCGTGTTTCCATGTGCACCATTCAAAAATTGAAGCGGAAAGCAAGATTTACATTTCAACGAAGTTCTTGCTATAGAAGCCAATCAAGTGTGAAATTATGTCAAACCTATCCGCCAACCTGATCACAGGACGTTACCTTAAGTTTGGGCCATGACAGCGTTGTCAGATTTGAATTGCCTTCTATTCGTAAAAATCTCTCCAAAGCTAGATGCTCTAAAACTGTATAATTTAGTCTCTTCACACTTCCTTCTTCAAGCAGTTACCATCACGCAGGTAGAAAATCTGCACGCTTTCCATATTTTCTAAAAACGCGAGTTTTTCATAGGCTGTGTCCACGACTGCAATTTCTCCAACAATGCTTTTAACATTGCCGAATTTCTTCCTTAGTACTTGTGGCGAAGGAGCATGAGTGCCAAGCAGATACAAGATTCCATAGATTGCTGTGCAGTTGTCTTCCACATCTTCGATGTTACTGCTAGTAAGCGCAAAATCCAGCTCGCAACCTTAAAATCAATTATAATCCAGAATGAATATTAATCTGCATAAGGGAAAAACCCACCACAGTTTATGCGGTTCCCCCTGATTCTTCTAGCAAAAGAGTAATATTCGTCCACGTGTGTACAGTTTGGATCTAGCCGGGGATTACCTTCTATACGGACTGAGATTGCTTTATTTATGGTGAGTAGGGCTCCATGACCCATGTTCTCAAGTTTAGAGTTGTTGAGAATGACGAAGTCATATCCTGAAAAGGAAATGTGTGACTCACACAATGGCTGCCCCAGAGTTTTTCGTGCCAGCGCAGCTCCCGCGCCGTGTCAGCGCGGTGCCCCGGACCTGCGTTTACGCGCTGCCGTATTAATCGATAGGTTCGGGCACGGCGCTAGGCGCTAGACGGGGCTTTACTTGAGCTGAGCAAAATATGAAAAGACTTACCAGTACCAGTTTCGAAATAATTGAATAATCCAAATAAAGAAAAGAAGAAAGTAAGATTTGTGAAAGTGGTGTTTATTATTTCGAGTGTACCAGAGATTGTCTCTACGCGACCGAAGGTCTCATAAAGTCTTTCGTAGGGCACATCCGTTGTTTCATCTAATACAAAAATTGAATTAATCTTGTATCCATGCACTAAAATTCATGCATACCTAAACGAACTGAACCGTTAATTTTGTAGCAGTAATCGTTTTCAATAATTAATTGAGAGATAGTTGTCGAGTTGATTATATAATCATTGAACTGGCACACCTGTCCTAAAAATTCCAATATTATGATGTACCAAGGGCTCCGCTTCCTACCTTCCATCCCTATCAGGTGAACTGGTAGATGGTTAGTCATAACTTGAAGGAAGCCATCACTGGTAAACGAGGTATCTAAACCAATTCAATGAGTTCAAATGATAGCAGAGAATGATCACTGTTTTAGCGAAAAAATAATAAGCTCTATATCTTGCTTTTTCTGACAAACTGCAGGAGCGCTGCATCCTGCAGTTCCTTGGAATGTCATCTTTGTGTAACAGACGATAAGTCTTTATGCTAGGATAATCGATTTTTGTCTTATTGAGCTCAACTGGAGTTGTCTAAAGTAGATTTGGCACAGCTTCCGGGAGCTTCCTCCTGGAGAGAATCACCTGATCACAGAATAAATCTCTTTTTTGACATAGACTCAGATGAGAATGCGTGATTGTTATGGAGTTCTGCGGCGACTAGTCAGGAAAATCTAGAGCAGAAATGATGCTTAAAGAACTCACAAAATGGCGTCGGCAAACAGAAACACAGTAAAAAACGTAATGCCATAAGGATTGCAGAGTAAGCAACAGTAAAGGAAAAGTTGTTCGTTCGCAAAATAATTGGTTATTTAAAACTGCATATCGCAGCTGCCACCTGGCGCAAACCATGAGTTTATGGTGAAGCGAAGTAACCTTTGATCCGGCACACACTGTAGCAACTATACACCATAAAGAGATTTAATACTACAAAAGCACAAAACAAATTTGCAAGACCTGTGTGAGAAGCTGCGGCCAGCGTTCAGACAACTCACCCGAACTTCCGCAGAACGTTCGGAAAACTTTCGCCGGGTCATCTGCGCAAGTTCCGTAAACGTGCTGCGGAAGTTCCGAAACGGGGTGCTGCGGAACTTCCGAAAAATGCGAACCACAAC